TCTATTAAGGTAACTTATAACCCCCAATTTGAACAGCCTGAAGGAACTTTGTCCCTGAGCCTATGAGAGAGCTCAAGTGCTGATGCCAACACCGAGCATGCCATGAATCCAAGTTTCTGAACAGGGGCCCGGGGAAGTAGGGGCAGAGTTAAAGAGCCATGCTTGTATTTGCATGCCATGATGCTCTTGCTTTTTGGGCTGATGTGCACCTGGTATTGCTGGAAGGAAACACAGAAAGGACACGCAGAGGAGAGAAATACAGAGCAGGGGTACTGGGAAGAGCCATGTGGGTGAGGCTCTTGAGGCTGCTGCTTCTGGTCTTGTGCAGAGACAATGGCAGTAGTTATATGGTATATTTTGAATTTGAGCCTCTCTTTCTGCCCTGGCTCTCTGGGATGTGTCTAATCTCCTTCTTGTAGTTTCCGGCTAGAAGTTACCTTAGACCTGTGCCAAATTTTTGGGCTGAGCATGTTTGGGCATTTGCCCATAAAAGGATGGCTAAATTTTTGGAATTTTATTGGGAAACTTAGTTGAATGCTTTCCTTCTTTCTATGCATACCAATTCTATTAAAAAATCTTTCACATTAAGTGCATGCTTTCTTTCCCTCTGTGTGCATGGATGGCTAGGTCTCTTCTAGAGTATGCACCCCTTAACAGTTTGGGGTCCTTGGGTACCCTTCAGTTGTGAACTAACAGCATGTTTTGACATTTATCAGTAAAAATGCTTCAAATAAAAAAGAAAACCTTAAAGTTGACAGAACAGTTGGGCATGATTAACTATCTCTTAAGCTTGCTACAAGCAATATGAGCTCTGCTGTGTGCATACAGCCCATATGTGCAGGGTAACTGACTTGAACTAAGTTTTCCTAACCAAGAGACCACTGACACAGAACCAAAAAGACAAGAAAAGGAAATACAAAGGCCACATTAAAGAGGAGAGGGATCTGGGCTTCCCCAGTGGCACAAGAGGCGAAAGCATAACACTATGAAGTTATAAGCAGCCACTGCAGCAGTGCAATCCCCTGCCAAGGAGCTGACCCACACAGTGCGGCAGACCTCTCCTGTCTTGCCCACTGCTCCCTTCAACAGTATGGATTTCAGTCAATCTGCCTGTTCTGCTCCCCACTCTGACTCTGGTAAATCCTCACACTCCCCTGTACCTCTGGATTGTATCCCCAGTTCCTCTATGTATAAATAAACAAATCTTTAACAACAACAAAAAAAAAAAGGAAAGAAAGAAAGAGAGGGACGAGTTGGTCTTTTGAAAGGGCTGTCTCAGCGTGGGCTGAGTTGTAACTGTCCAGTGAACTCAAGCCAAGTCCACTTCCTTTGCCACTAGCTATCCCTTTAAATCCTTTTCTTCAACCCTACACCCACAAAATCAATATAAGCCCTGCCCCTTTCTTAGGCAGGGAGACATATCTGAGCTTGGTTCTTGTCTCTTTGCTAATGGACTTGCACTATAAACCCGTTTCTTCTCTCAAAATGTCAGTGTCCTGTCATTGGCTTTTATGCAGTCAGGCACCAAGCCCAGTGGCTAGGTTATCATCATTTTGAAAAGTGACCCACAAACACACTAAATAAAAACTATAAACAGGAGGCAATTCAGTCACTAATGATACATCACAAATGATGGAACGTTTTGGCATGTTTGCTGTCAAACAGATACAGATCCCAAGGGCTTGATCAGTGCATTCAAAACTAATACAGAAAATGAAGGGAGGGAGGAAAAGCCATAATATAATGTACAAGTATCCAAGATTTTATCATCCTACTGCCTTTTATAGTTATCTATTAGCAGTTAATTCCCTGTGCATAATGAAACAAACTGCTCATTACAGTTTTTTTTTTAATATTTATTTATTTATTCATACAGAACTGGGGTACAGGCCAGAGATGGGGAGGGTGAGAGGATTCACCATGAACAGAGTGGGGAGCAGAACAGGCAGATCAGCGAAGTACACTGCTGAGGGGAGCAGCGGGCGGGCCAGGAGAGGTCTGCCACGCCATGTGGTCACCTCCAGGGCAGGCGGGGATCGAACTCGTGCAGAAGTGGCTTTAGTTTCTCAGTGCAGTGCATCAACCCGCTGCGCCACCAGGGAGGGCCCTCATTACAGTTTTAACTGTCCAAATGTGGAGGAGGGAGAGAGAAGAAGAGTAGATCTAAGATCAGGGTTTCTGCATCTGTGCAATGTGTGAATTTGATGGCCTTGACAAAAAGACAGCTGGAGGGGGTTCTTTAATAGAGAGGATTAGTACATTAATAAGTGGGATTACATATTTCAAGAAACTCAAACAGGGATTCCCTGGTACAAGGTGCCAGGTACAAGGGGTTAAGCCTCAGCACTATAAAGCTATGGGCAGCCAGCCACTGCAGCACGAGTTCACCACCAGTCCAGGGAGCTGAGCAACATGGCACAGCAGACCTCTCCTTTCTTGTCAGCCGCTCCCTCAGCAGTGTTTCAATCTGTCTATTCTGCTTCCTCACTCTGTCTCTGGTGAATCTTTTCACTCTCTGCACCTCTGACCTTATACCCTATTGCTTATATGCATAAACAAATAGATCTTAAACAAACAAACAAACCCAGACATTCTCAATTATGCAAGCTAAGTTTTAGCAAGATATTGCCCACGAGTACAGTATTTCAGTAGACAACAAATTTGTGGGGGGAGAAAAAATTCACATTCATTCTCTTTGAGATATGACTGCACTGTTAATTTATTAAGCAAATAGTTAGTCTCACTGTGGGGTCCCCAAACAGCATCACTGGTGTCTCTAGGTCTCCCTAAAAATGGCCACATAGACCTTTCCTAAGATGTCCAGAGCAGGTTTTCTCCAATACACATCATGATATACAGAAGTATGGTGAGTCGAGGGCTCATGTGACTTGAGGAAAAACTATCATCATAACCTTAAAAAATGCATGCATATTCCCCAGATTTAAGGTCATCTCCAGAAAGAACCTTTTTATTGGAGAAACCAATCTTAAGGCAGAGAAACATCGAGATATTGTCACACGGGATACCCTTTTCTCTTCCTTACTTCAGTATTTCAACTTCCAGTTTGTCCCATTTACTTTAGCATTTATAATTATATAGATCATCCAGCCACATATAATTAAAGTTGGTCTTTTTATCCTACTAATCTGCCTAATGTTAATTTGTTTGCTCATCCAGCTTGAAAAGAATTCAGAAATGGTAGGAATACAAATTCACCAGTCTTACCTCTGACCTAAAGAATCTAATTCTGGGAATGGGGCCCAGGAAATTGTTCTGACAAGCCCACTAAGTGAATGTTTTTGGTTGCTTAACAAACAAATAAATGGAAAAATCTGCCCAATCAATAATAAAATTATTATTAGGAAATAGAAGCAAAATACCTAATTCTGTGTACAGAAAGACACAAACACTCTTTAAAAATTTAAAGAACAAGGAATAAAAGAATTTTAACACCTTTAAGCCTCAGTTAAGGATTCAATAAAAACAAATCAATATCACACAGGACAACTGTTAACTTAAAACAAATCCAGTTTTTAAGAATCCAAAGAACTTAACCTAATCACTAGTAAACCAAATGTTGACCTTGGCCTGAATATGAGTGCATATTCCCTGCACAATCATTTCTAACATAAAATTTAGTACAGAACAATTTCAACATTTCTAAATCCATTTAACATTTAAAATCACTACATCCCACGACCCTGTCATACAGATATCTGTAAACAAACTTTCAACAGATACAAAGCAAACCTTCACAATTTCCTAAGTTTTTTTTCAAATCCATTTTCATAAGGATCTCTTCAACTTCATATTTGAATATAATTTACTAATTAAAAATATTAAAAACCAAAAGAAAGATAACTTAAACCCTAAATATTCTTCTCAACTTACACAAAATTTAAACTAACCATTATTTAGAGTTAATCGTCACTAAGATCAACAACTATTTAAGATGTCTGTACATACTCTTAATGTCCCTCAAAGACCTTCTTTATGTGAAAAATAACCAAAAAAGAACTGCCATCTCTTACTTTCATTCACCTTTATCCTTTTCCAGCGACTATGATTTTCCTTCTCTTTTGTATATTTTTGCATCATTTCTGTACAATGTGTGCTTTCTCACCCCAGCTATAACCAGTTATGATCCCCACAGAATCCCCCCCACCAGTTCCCCCATGCACCATCACCGCAGCCCCTTGTGCTCTTTTGTTTTGCCCATCCCTGTTTTGATCCTATTCCCCTCTCACTCCCTGCAGAATGTCTTTGGTTTATAGTTTCCTGTTGATTTTGATATTTACTTTATTATAATTATTCACACCCCCCCATCCCTAATTTGGATCCTCTACATCCTCCTAAGAGTGAAACCATCCGGTATTTTTCTTTTTTTCCTGGCTTATTTAGCTGATCATGATTTCCTTCTCTCTTGGAATTAAAGAAAGCAAAATTCAATTTGCATGTCCAATCCTTTATATATGAGATTTTTTAAAATCAGGCCTGTTATTTACTTTGTTTGTTAGGCTTTCTTCATTTTCATCCATTGAAACAACTGCTACTCAAAAAACCAAAAACAATTTTTCACTTATGTTATCAATATCAGTGTCTGAAAGGGGTACTGTCAAAGTGCACAATCAAACATTAAACAGAGAAATGTTAGAAGTTTTCTGATGTGCCTGTGCTTTTAAAAAGTATTCTGGGGCCTTCCCTGGTGGCACAAGGGGTTAAAGCACAGGCCCATGGAACTCGCCACAGCCACTTCATTGAGAGTATGATCCCCAGCCAGGGAGGTGACCCTCATGGCGTGGCAGACCTCTCCTGACCTGTCTGCTGCTCCCCTCAGCAGTGTACTCTGTCCGTCTGCCTGTTCTACTCCCAGCTCTGCCTCTCGTGAATCCTCTCATCACTCCTGTACCTCTAGCCTAGACTCCAGTTTTGTATGCATAAATAAATAAATCTTTAAACAAATATTCTGCTGCTTGAATTAAAGAGTATATACTGCATACCTGTTCCATATCTAAAGTTGTTTCAATCATCTCTTGGAACTTGGAGAAATCAGAACGAAGATCAATAAAAGGAGTCACAAAAATTGCCAACAACAGTGCCTGGTGTTGTCCTAAAAGAAAACATAAAGAAAAATAAATGAAAAGTCCCTTCTTTTTAAATTAGTGATGACAGATCATGAACAAATGATATTGAGGTAAGGTGCAAATATTGACCCAAAGATCAGTTCTCCATAGTTACTACTCAGTTCAAATGTGTTTAGTACTTAATTTTCCAGAAAAGGAATAACCTGGCATTCAAAATTCCCTACTAATAAAAGTGTCTTCTCCACTGATCAATAATCACCTTTGCATGTACTAGGAATGCAAAAACATGACATTGATTTTAACCAAATGAACTGCATTTCTTTACAGATTTAATAACCCAATGTCAAAATAATTAAAATAACTCTAGCTTACCTATTCTCCTAATTGCTATTTATAATACAGTGGTAGCAGAGGTTAAATCAAACCAAGTACAGGGCTCCTTGGTGGCACAAGGATTTTAAGTCTCAGCATTATCAAACTATTGCCAGCCACTCTTGGCAATCCCCATATGGCCCAGCAGACCTTTCTTGACTCACCCACTGCTCCCCTTGATGTTGTATTTTAGCAGATCTGCCTGTTCTGCTCCTAACTCAGTCTATGGAGAATCATATAACCCCCCTACACCTCTGGCCTATACCCCAGTTCTTAGATACAAACATCAATAAAAATAAATCTTAAAAAAAAAAAAAAATCACCAAGCCAAGTACTTACAAACCACAACCATACTCAACCTTATTTAAAAGGACATGCTGGCGACTTGTGAGGAGCAGGTGAAGAATGAATGTATAGTGTGAAAGGCATGAGTACAGACTTGGAAACCAGCTCCAGTTCTGCTACCTACTGACTTTGTGATCTGGAACATTTTTCTTGTCTCTACAATGGGAATAACAGCTACCAGAAGATTACTAAATGCTAACTCCACACAACACTTAGGACAGCGCTTGAGGCTCAACAGAAACTCAGCAACAGTTATCGTATATTAGTAGTGTTGTTACTCCAGGACTTTCCCCCAGGCTCCAATAAGTTTCCTTGAAAATTCAATAGCCATCAATTGCACACTAACTTTCACTCCAAAGCAAGATTCCCCATCTTTTCCAGAAATATCAGTAGCTTTTGACGGAGGAAATGATGAAAAGCTACCACGAAGTCAGCAAAATTGTAAAGATTATTAATCACAACAGCATCTACACTTATTTAGAAAATAGTACATATGTGTGAAACATTATTTAGACAGTCTATAAACAACACTTTGCCCACATAATGTCTGTTGTGCTACAAAGCCTGGTTCTTTATTCCAAATGAGCTCGTACATTATTGGTAGATAGGGGAATGACGGGAGCAAAATTCAAAGGTGGAATAGGTTCACCAATGTTATTTTCCCCCAATCCAGTAATGTCTTTAAGCAAGCAAGGGCAAGCTTTCACACAATTAAGAGTAAAGTTAGTAATATATTAGTATTTTGGAGTATGAGTTAGTGTGATTATACTTTCTACTATGTTAAATGGAAAAGCTACATGTAGATAAATAGTACAAAAACATATGCTAGTGTTTTTAAAACTTTGACTGAATTTATACCCTAGTTCAGCTTTTTAAGTTGATGAAACTGACCTTTTAATAGATGCAAAATGCCCTGAAAGGACTTCTCAAAAGAGGTTATACAAGTTCCAGAGTTTAAGGCTATTAAGAGACATCTGAGGCTGGTGCTAGGTAAAAATGTGACGGTGATTTACACAGGCTGTTCTTATTAAAATCTGTAAATACTTTCGATAGGAATCATTAACAAATTTCACATATTTTGAGGTCTACTGTAATCCTATTTTTTCTATCAGTTTTGTTATGTTTTATAATATATGACTTTGAAGAAGGTAAAGTTTATACAAATAACCTGTATAAGATTCAGAAACTACCATCCTCAACATGTTCTCTGATACCTCAAACACATGGGCCTACCTTGGTGCAGTTCTTCATAAGGCCCCTCCTGAGCTTATCTGCTCTGCTCTAAAAGCTGTCACTGGCATCTTGAATTCTCTTACTTCAATGTGGACTGAGCCTCCATCACCAATTTTCAGCTGGGTTTTCCTTTTTCCCCAATCAGTTATGGTTTAATTAAAATTCAGCTTATTGCAACATAATTCACATGCCAAACACTTCTCTATTTTAAAGTTAACAATTCAAGAGTTTTTAGTTTACATGCAGATTTCTGCAACTATTGTCACAATTTTGAACAATCATTGGTCTTAAAACAAAAAAGGAATCTTGCACTATTAAAAGTAACTTTCCACTTCCCTCTTACCCCTGTCCCTCCTCACCACTCCAAACACAGGCAATGTAGGCCACTTTCAGTATCTATAGATTTGCCTATTCTGGAACATCTCATAGAAATGATTTGTGCTATTGTGGCTGCTTTCTTTGACTTAGCATGTTTTCAGGGTTCAATTACTATTTGTGCATTATATTGGCACTCAAGTCCTTTTTATTGACAATACTATTCCATTGGATGAGTGTACTACATTTATTTACCCATTTATAAATTGATGGGCCCCCAAGCGGATCTTGATAAACTCCATTCTTTACTAGTTTCCAGAGCCTAAGAAGGCCTATAGGATCTCACCCCAAAGAACCAGGTTTCAACCCAAGGACCACAGATCCTTGAATTCTAGATAATATATTAAAAATAGGCATAAAGTTCATCTTCATTTTCTCTAACCTCTAATTGGAACCTACCATTTCTTTCCATTACAGCATTTTATGTAGGTAATAAATTACCACTATCTGGGTGTCCACATTTATCAGTCAAAATTCCAGATAGTTTTCATAGTATTGTTTTTGTAAATAACTTCAAGTATCATTTAAACTATATATAGTTCAAAATTAAGAAGTTAGGGGTATCCCTAGTGGCGCAAAGGGTTAAGTCTCAGCACAATGAAGCTATCTGCAGCCACTACATCACAAGTTCAATCCCCAGCCAGGGAGCTGACTTACATGGCCCAATAGACCTCTCCTGTCTTGCCTGGTGCTCTCCTGAGCAGTGTATTTCAGTCGATCTGCCTGTTCTGCTCCCCACTCTGTCTCTGGTGAATCCTCTCATCCCCCACACCTCAAGCCTGTATCCCAGTACTTGTATGCATAAACAAATCTTTAAAAAAATCAAGAATACAGAATCTCATTCAGATCATATTATTCAATGCATAAATAAAACACATTTATCAGGAATTTGTCCTATATTTTGGTTAATATATTTCCATACAATTGGTTTCTTTTGTAACTCTATGTTTTGTAATATATGTAACTCTATGTCAATATACTCCCATTTCTTTTTTTTTTTTTTAAAGATACAGGTCAGAGATGAGGAGGGTGAGAGGATTCACCAGAGACAAAGCCGGGAGCAGAACAGGCAGATCGACAAACTACACTGCTGTGGGGAGCAGTGGGCGGGCCAGGAGAGGTCTGCCAGCCATGTGGTCACCTCTAGGGCAGGCAGGGATTGAACTCATGTGGAAGTGGCTTTAGCTTCTTAGTGCTGTACTTGAACCCGCTGCGCCACCAGGGAGGGCCATACCCCCATTTCTTTATGCACTTATTACTATCTGAAATTCGTGCTCATTTGTCTACTCTCTGTCTCCCTCCATTCCAATAATGATGAGCCTCTGTAAGAATAGAGACCTATCAGTCATACCCACCACTGTATCTCCTAGAAGAATGCATGGTACAAAGTAGCAATTGTTAAAATAAATGATTTAGTAAGAAAGAGAGTAAAGGAAGGATGCAGCTATCAGTCACTGTCCATTAGTTTTTTTTTTTAAAGATTTATTTGTGCATACAGAACTGGGGTACAGGCCAGAGGCGGTGAGAGGCTTCACCAGAGACAGAGTGGGCAGTAGAACAGGCAGGTCTACAAAGTACACCACTGAGGGGGGCAGCAGGCAGGCCAGGAGAGGTCTGCCACGCCATGTGGTCACCTCCGAGGCAGGCGGGAATCGAACTCATGTGGAAGCGGCTTTAGCTTCTCAGTGCAGTGCTTTAACCCACTGCGCCACCAGGGACGGTCCAACTGCCCACTAGTTTTAATACATACAACATTCACCTACCAAGGATTCCAAAGATCACACAGGGAGATAATTATTAGTTTCTTAAGTGTGTAATCTCTAAGTAATCAAGTCACTAAATAATCTTTGTAAAAGCTCTAGATTGTCAGTCCCCAAAGACTCATTTATAACTCCTTGGAGACTACTTTCAAGAATGTTTCCAAACACCTTATAAACTGCTACAATGTTTAGTTAGGTCAACAGTATTAAATGCTAATATTTCTCTAACATCCTAAAGCATAATTTAATCACTATTAAGCATTTTATGATTGCTTACAATAAAAATTGTAACAAATTGAAAGCTGAAAGTCTATCAAGTAAAAATTATCCATTCAGGTATATTTTAGGCCAGCTTCTAAATTTAAACCTTAATTGGTGTTTTAACACAATTTCTGGGACTTATTTTCTCTGTCTTGCCCATGTTTGTGTAAGTATTGAAAGAATCAGACAGTCTCCTTATAAAATGTACTTTTCTTTCCTAGCTCTTTTTCCCCTGGCTCCACTTATCAATTATGGGTATAATTTTACATTTGTGTTAGTCCCAACTTCATTAGATTACTTTCCCCCGTCTCACCCATCATTTCTTACAGTAATTTTCTCATCTTATCATTTGGTAGTACATAATTTAAATGTCTCCATTACTCTCTTGCTGTACTACTTAGAGCATCACCTTCACAATCTTCATATTCAAAGACAAAAGCTGTCACATTATAATTAAGTTCTTGGGCCAGTAGTTTTAGTATACCCATGTCTCTCCATTCAAATTACCCTGTACACCCAGATACCATTAAACATTTCCAGTAAAATGAACTAATCACCATAATAAAAAGCAAACAATCATTACTGTCGAGAATTAAAAGTTTTCTTAAACGCTTTACTATTTATTAGACCTGTAAATTAGCACAACCTTTCTGGAAAAGAAATCTATCTATACATAATTG